GATGAAGATTGAGGAACACAGTCTGCAGTATGGATTACATCTCAATATAAAGAAGACAAAAATCCTCACAACTGGAGCGATAAGCAGCATCATGATAAATGGAGAAAAGATTGAGGTTGTCAAAGAATTCACGTTGCTTGGTTCTACAATCGAGGCCAATGGAAGCAGCAGTCAGGACATTAGAAGACATGTAGCACTGGGTAGGTCAGCTGCAAAGGAACTTTTTCAAATGCTGAGGAGCAAGTATGTCTCCTTGAGGACTAAGGTGTGCTTGACACAGGCCATGATATTTACATTCACCTTGTATACATGTGGGAGCTGGACAATGTATAAGGAACACCGAAGAAGAGTTGATGCTTTTGAGTTGTGGTGCTGGCAAAGAATGCTGAAGGTACCATGGACTGGCAAAAGAACTAATAGATCTGTCCTGGAGGAACTTCAGCCACGATGCTCCTTGGAATCGAGGATGGCCAGACTTCATCTCACGTACTTTGGTCATGTTGTCAGAGAGGACCATTTCCTGGAGAAGGATGTCATGCTTGGTAAGGTGGAAGGTCAATGAAAGAGGGGAAGGCCTTTGATGAGATGAATTGACAAGGGGCTTTTTAGCGACAATGGGCTCAAGTATAGCAAGGATCATGGAGCTGGCACGGGATAGGGCGGTGTTTCGTTCTGCTGTGCATGGGGTCACTATGAGTTGGAAGTGACTTGACGGCACTTAACAACAACAACAACAACAGGTCTTGTTACCTAGGCAGGAGGCATAGTTTATGGGCGGAGAGCACAGAGTCTGGAACCCACCCCACTTGGCTTCAAAGGCTTGGAATGTGACCTTGGCCAACTCTCTTAATTCTTTGGTGCCTCCATTTTTTCCTCTGTGAAATGGAGATGAAAATTGCTTGCACCTTCCTCACAGGGTTGTTGTCAGAATTAAATGGGTTAAACTTTGTAAAGTTCTTAGAGCAAAGCCTGGCACATAGTGTTAGCTCTTATAGAGATGAAAAATCACAGTATCTGTATGCCCATCTGTCCCCTCATCTCTGTCCATCTCCCAAATAATGTTACTTCATGTCATCTCATTAATACTGTTGCAACATTGGAATATCCTAAAGTCATTCCTGCCAAATTATAACACATTTCTTTTTAATGTTTCATGTAGAATCTATTTGTTTTCAATCTTTAACTCCTGTTCTTCTGTACTACACTAAATTCCTGTGATTTAACCTGGGGAGATATATATACATGTAAGTTTTTACTTTCTCAATGAATTTTAAATAACTGTGTTTGTTTATTTTAGAAAATGATATGACAGATTGTGTGAGCCTAATCAATGAAGTGTGTGTGGAGGCACAGAATGCGGGTGACACGGAGCTCCAGGCTGAATTCTTGATGCAAGCTGTAATCCTTGGCCTGCAAGAAAAGCATTTAAAGGCAGACATCATCACGAAACTTCAGGTAGGAAGGAAGCCTTGTTTTCACATTTATACTTAAGGAAGGCCAATTAGAACGAAAGAAGGGGTTTGTAAATTTCAGGAGGCGGAGTCTGTAACAATCAAGTGCCTAAGGCACTTTGACTGCTAACCAGAAGCCTGGGGGCTCAAACCCACCAGCCACTCCTCAGAAGGAAGGTGATACCACCTTGGAAACCCAAGGAGGGGTTGCTATGAGGCGGATTCGACTCAATGGCAGTGAGTTGAGTTGAGCTCTTCTTGCAGCGAATTGGAAACTGTACTATCAAAAGGAATCTTTTTCTTTTTTAATAGAATATAATACATTTGCTTGAAGGAAATCAGTTTATTTCTCCTCGATCTCATTTAACCCTGGTGAGAAGCTTACTTTTGCTGGATGATTTAACGAAAGCTGAGAAATTCAAGGAATCTTCCCCTTCCAAACCAGATCTTCTAAATCTGTTGACTCAGTCTCACAACATTCTTATTGAGCAGGTGAGGGTGTGTCTGTGCAGACTTAGAGACATACTTTCTTGTCTCTTTTCTTGTGCCAAACCACATTAATTAATTGCTCCTGACATTTTCCTTTCTTTTTATTTTTAATAGATGCTAGCTTTTGGAGAAACAATTGAATTTCCAGTGTCAAGCACTGAATATGCAAATCCAATACAGCCTCTGAAAAATATCTATCTTCCTCATGTCCTGTTATTGGCCAAAATAAAAATGAGAATTGGTAAGAATATTTAAACATATGTTATACCCGAGTCAAAGATGAAAACACAAAGTTATTTTCAGGAAGGTTATCATGAGTACATTTAAATGGGATGATATTCTAATACCCAGACTTTATTTGTTCAACAAATAGTTTTTGATCACCTACAATGTGCCAGATGCTGTATGAGGCCCTAGGAATTTACCGGAGATTAAAACAGATACAGTCCTTGCTCTTAGAGGATACAGAAGTAAACAATAAAACATATGGGAGTTATATTATATTATGTCATATGGTACTATACTGTGCTACATTACATTATATATAAATTGCATGCAAATTATTTTATATTATATATAATGAATTATGCATATAATTAGGTTCCTGTATGGTATAGAAAAAAAAGAAAAAACTACTAATCAAAAGGTTATTGGTTCAACTCACCCAGTGATGCCCAGGAAGACAGGCCTGACCATCTGCTTCTGTGAAGCTATCCACCAAGAAAACCCTGTGGAGAAATTCTACTCTATAACACATGAGCTTGCCTTGAGTCAGAATCGACTCCATGGCAATGGATTTGGGTTTTTCATTTTGGGGAGGGTGGTTTATGTAACTATAAATTGTGATTAGTGTTAAGAAAGAAGTGGAAAAGGTCTGCTGATAGAGAATAATGAAGGGAGGGGTGCCTATTTAAGTAGAGGCACTGAGGAAGGCCTATCTCAGAAGCAGTTTTTAATTCTCTGGACTCTAAATGCAAATGATGCACTTACACATAATGCAGCCATCAGGAGCAGCCAGCTGTAGACTCTGAGATCTGATATGTTCCTGAAGTGAAAAGAGACCAGTGCAGCAGAAGCAGAGTGCGTGAGGGCAGCCTAAAGGAAGAAGTATGAGGAAGGTGAGCTGGGAACGGATCACACAGGGCCTGTAGGCATGATGTGGTATACGTGTAGTAGGAAGACACTGATACATTTTAAGCAGGACAGTGACATAATAGTAATAGCTGCTAAGGGTTAATACTATTAGTATTTGTTGTTAGTAGCCGTCGAGTTGCTTCCTAGCCATGACAACCTTGTGTGCAGAGTGGAACTGCTCCATATGGTTTTTATAGCTATGACCTTTCAGAAGTGGATTGCTCATCCTGTCTTCTGAAGAGCCTCTGGGGGGGTTGAGACCACCATCCTTTCAGTTAGTAGTCAAGTGCTTAACCGTTTGTGCCACCCAGAGTCTCCTGACCTAGTATAGCATATTCAGTGCGCCAGGAACTGTTCTAGTGCTTTACATATATTAACTCATTTAGTCCTCACAGCAGGCTTGGGAACTTGATATTGTTATGCCCTTTTCATAGAAAACTGAGGCATAGCTTATGTTTTAAAATTACTGTTTTGGCTGCTGTGTGGAGAATATTCAGTGCTATTCTTAGCTCTAGTACATAGAAACTGACTACTGCATAGTGAATCTTGGACTATGGCTCTTAAAGGAAAATTATGACATTGTTTCCAAAATTCAGTTAGAATAATTTCTTTTTAAATTCCCTGATTTTCATTTTACCCACTTTCAGCTTTGAATAACTAACTTTCTCATTCAGTCCCAGTTTCTGGACCTTTCTTGCCATTTCCACTTTTGTGCTCTGAACTTTATTTCCCATTTCACTTTTTCTGGTCTAGTGAGAGGGTCAGGTTGAGGTGCCAGAGAAGTGGGTTGGAAAATAGAGGAGGGTACCCCTTTCTAAGTGATTACTCTTCTTATAACCCTGACCACATGATTGTTAAAGACAGTTTCCGTGTCTGAAGCCTATATCAGAATATAAATTTCTCAAGGCAACAATTTTTATTTGCCTACTTGATATCCCAGGTACCTAGCACAGTACCTGAGTTCAACCAATCCATTAATAAAGCTACTTTCAGACTTTATTTGTCCAATGAAATACTATGCAGCTAATAATGATATTGTATAATAGGTTTTATGTAACATTAGTTCATACTAGGTTGGAAAATATTTACAAAATATTTAGTATATTCATCATGATATCAGTGGGAGAAAAAGACAACAAGGATTATCTTAAATTGTTCAAAGAGACTCTCTTTGATGAGATGATCACGGATGATGCTTATTTTCTTATTTTTCCCCCTGCTGATCTCTCTTTAAGTTTCCACAATGAGCTTGTAGAACTTTTCTAAGAAGAAAAAATATTAAGAAATATCTTTTAGTGAGGGTACAGATATATTTTCTCTGTTTTAGGGTTTTCTTCATATGAAAGTTAGGATGATCTAATAAAAATTAAGCACCTAGCACATTTTCTGGCACATAATATGTGCTCAATAGATGTTAGACTTTTTCAGAGTTTTTGGAGGAAAATTAGTTAGTAGACAGTCTGTGAGAAGAAGACCAGCAGACACAGGGAAGCCTGCGGTGGAGAGCGTATGGCACACCAGTTAAATGAGGGCTTGGAGTCTGGAGGGTCTACACTTGAACCCTGGGGTTACCAGTTCTTAGTTATCTTAGAAATTATTTCAGCTCCTCATCTGAAAAATGAAGATAGGGCTTTCATATATATTATATATTTGGAATAATCAAATGAAATAAAGTCTATAGCAATCATACAATATATGGAGCTCTATTCTTATTGTTATTTCTTCCATCTTCATGCTTACTATTTAATTTTCTTTATTTTTGTTGTTCTGATCAAGTTATT